GCGCCCCCCTTGCCCAGGCCCTTCCCGCCCTTGCCGCGACCAGACATGGCTGGGAGACGACTGCACAGCGTTTTGTCACGTCGCCCGCGCTGCAGGCCTTTATTCCGCTGCCAGCGGACCGAACTGAGAACCTCACACAGCCGAGAAGTGCCACCCCATGGGGGAAGAGAAGTGTGACAAGACCAAAAAAAAAAAAATAAGTCGTAGGTTTCCTTGTACTGTGTCTTGTTTATACCCGGCAACTATTTTGTTACTCTGTTTGGAAACTTAAAAAAATTGCTTTTCGATAGGAACCCCAAGCGCGAATGTTGTGAGAAATGCAGAAAAGGGCAAGTAATAAAATAGCAATATTTTATCCCCCCACACAGAGAACACAGTACTGCTGCCCAGTTTGGAATTTTGGTGAAATAGGGAAGTGCACATCTTCCCCCCCCCCCCACCCAGAGAAAATTCACATAGTTCCATGTATGGCGTTTTGGAACTTCTTCACACGGATTACATTTTAATCACTTTCCCTTCTCTAAAGACAAAAAAAAAAAGAAAGTGTTTTTAATATCTACTTGTTATTCCTTCTTAAACATTCTCTATAGTACACTTGAGCCAATTCCCTAGTAATTCCTTAATAAGTCACATGTATAAAATAATTATTTTCCCTACTGACTGTTGTACCACTTTCAACACTAGGAAATGTAGGGGTCAAGGGCAGGTTAACCTAAAATGAGTCACTTTGACGTGAAGGTTATTAAAATCCAGCACATTTTGTAAAAGCTTTTTACCGCCTCCACAACTGCGTAAAAGGAAATTAGATAGAGGACCTGCTCCAGAAAGAAATTTACCACAGAGAGAACTGTATTATACTGTGAGCTAGGTATAGACGATGGGGACCAGCAAGGCCTGTTGGATCAAAGCCCTTTATGTCCCTTGTTTCCAAGTGGCCCAGCAGACATTTTCTTTATCAGGCATTTGCTCTTCTGTGAATTATATTCCTTCCCTTTGAAGTCCCAGGCCCCTGGCCCCTTCTCCTTAGCTCAGAAAGACATATATACTTCATTTTGCTTGACTGTCTTTGAAATTTCATGTCTGTATAGATCACTGTAGTATATACTGTTACATTTTATTTTCTCCTGTGAATCTGGCTCATGTCTATTTGATTCTTAGCTGGCTGGAAGGATCTCCAAAAGGACAGGTTATTCCTGCTCCCTGACAGAACTATTCCTAAAAATTCTATTCCATACAGAACTATAGAACTATAGTTTAGGCAATGTCCTTTGCCAAAGGAAATCTACTTTCAGTTCAATCTTGGAAATTTTACACTAGGGAAAGTGAAAAGTGATTATGTCTGTAAGATATTCCATCATAAGCATTTTCTATGATACATTTTAAGCAAAATCTCTAGCACTTAACATAATATGCTTTCTATTTTAAAGGAGATCTGTACATAACTTATTTCCTGAGGATAACCTAGAATTGAAATGCTTTGTCAGAGACAGTATAGATTTTTGTGGTATTATATTAATATTAGTGCAATTTCCACAATTCTTACCACATTCACCTCTGCCAGCAGTTAAGTGTTGTGCATATAAATTTACCATATAATACCAAAGAGGCATATTTTGAGATGATATATTCTACTCCTCTTCAAAATATTGTAACTTGTTTCAGGTTTAAAGGAAAAATTAACCCTTTTGGAATTTTTGTCATCATTGCATCACACTGATTAAC